GGTGGGATGAGGAAGCACAGTGGAACTGAGGGGGGATGGTAACGGGTGGAGTTAAGGCAAAGCCAACTGTTCGACAGGCCGAGGTAGAGTATAGAAACTGACACCCCTTGGCTGAGATGGCGAACTTGAAGCACAAGGTGAACTGGAGCAGAGCCGAGAGCTGGCATAGGAGAAGCTGAAGGGCTGAGACTAGCTAATGAAGACAGGGCTGAAGCACTGGGTAGTGCAGTCAGGGGTTCACAAAAACAGTCTAAAAATGGCCTCCCTGGTCAATGCAAAACATGCAGAAAACTCAGGAGTGACCTCTTTGGCCAAAACAGAACAGGTAGAGAACTCAGGAATGGCCCTCTTGGCTGATGCAGTCAGGGATGGCTTCTCAAGCTGACTCAAAAAAGACAGGGGGGTGGAAGAGGGAGGCAGTGCAGGAACAAAATTTCTAAACATTCGTTGCAGGCTGAGGAAAAACTCCACCGGTAAATCCACAGGCATGGGTGCCATGATGCCAGCTCATGGACCTGGTCAGATGTGGTTGGCTTGGGCTCCAGGGTGATCTCTAGTTCAGGCGTATGCTCTGGCTCCTCTATTGCGGCAGGCACAGGTTCATCGTCTGCAGCGGGCTCAGGCATCACAGGCTCTGGACTGGTGGAAGTGGCTGGAGTGATGGTTTTTGCCTTGCTCTCTTAGAATTTGAAGGGGGAACTGTTGTGGAGAAGTCCCCAGTCCACATACTCCTTAAATGTCCCTCAAGGTCTGTCTCCAGGCAGGTGCACTCTGGTCTCTGCATTTAGGCCTGCCTGTGAAAACAAGCAGGCTGTCATCATTGTAGTGTATAAGATGGTATGAATCCATAAATACCTGTGTATGTCACTCGAGGGACTGGTCCCCTGTGAGAGGAGGAGAATTTATACCTCTATATATTTCAGTCCAAGAAAATGCATTTTCTTGCCCCTGAAATACATTTAGACATATATGTTGGTATATGAAGGTTTAAACTAAATATATTTTCACTTTAAAAAATATTACTTACATTTTCAATTTACTTTTCAATTTAAAAAATAGCTTCACTGTTTACAACACATTTAACGTGTTTAAAATATATTCTGGCCATTATGTATATATGTATGTATGTTTTTATTATTTTATTTAGCTGTATGTGCTACATTTGGAAATATATTTTGGTATATGAATGTTGAAAATATATATATTTTTGATTTAAAAAATATATATATATTTTTTTAAATCATAACACAAATTATGCTGATTACAGCCACGTTGTAGATGAATCCACTTCAGCTGCTGAATTGTGTGCACAATTAATAATTCAGTGATTGTTCAGATTCAGATAAGAGGTGTGTGTGTGTGTGTGTGTGTGTGTGTGTGTGTGAATCGCCTGCGATAGTGAACGCCTTCACTGTTTTCAACAAATCTTTAACATATTTATCCAAAATTACCATATGGTTTATGAGTAGTTTATCTACCTGGAATCTCTTGCCAACCAATAATTTTTGCTGCTGCTTCAAATTTGTTGAAATGGTAACACTTTATAATAACTTTCATTAATAAATAATTAATAAACTTTTATGATCACCAGCTGAAGTGCCTATGAGCTCCTCCAGAGGACACTCCACCCCAGACTGTTGTCACTCCCTCACTAACTACATTCCCCATAATCTTTTGCCTGGACTCTTAAACACTGATTGCATTCACCTGTGTCTTGTTACCTCCATCAGTCTCACCTTATTTAAAACCTAGTTTTTCACTCACTCATTGTTCAGTTTTGTTAGCCTGTAGCATTCCCTAGTTCCTGTGTCATGTTTCCTAGTTCCTTGTTTTCTTGACTTGCCTTGCCTTGCTCTTGCTCTTGACCTTGGACTGTTTACCTTGATTCTGATTGTTTGCTGCCTGCCCTGACCTTCGCCTGTTTTGTGGATCAGGGTGGGTCTCACCCTGGATTATACCTGTTTGCTGGTGTGTGACCCTGCCTGTTTGACCACTCTTTTGAATAAAGCCTTTACTTGGATCCACTTCTGCTTTGTCACGCCTCCCAACGTTACAGAGTATCGAGCCACACCCAGATCCAGCGGCTTTATCGTGTGTCCCAGTCTTTTCATGGATCCAGCACTCTGGTTAGTTTGCCTCCGTCAGCGAATGCGTTCCCTCGAGGACCATATTCAAGATTTTCTGGACATTGCTTACTTTTCTGATCTCCCGGAATTCATGTTGATTGACTTTTTCTGTTATGGACTAAATTAACCGTTAAAACCATACTCCCCCGTGATGGTTCTCGAGGGTCACTATGTCAGTTTTTGGATTATGCCCTGTTGCTAACTGGTTCCCCGTTCGCTGTGGGAGAGGTGGAGGATGTTAAGACCCCTAAGAGTTTTTTTTTGTGTGTGTGTGGGGCAAGCTGGGCCATGTGGTTCACTGGGATCACCACCAAGTCCAATAATTACGGTCGCCACTCCTGTGCTCTCAGCACTCCCAAGTCCAGTGGCTGTCACACCACAGCCTCTTCCCAAGATGGCCACCAACCCAGAGTCTCTCCACAAGATGGCTGTCATTTCAGAGTCTAGTCCAGTCATGGGCGCCGTTCCAGAGTCTCGTCCAGTCATGGCCGCCATTCCAGAGTCTCTTCACGTCATGTCGACCATGCCCAGTGCCTCAAGGTCAGTCCCAAGGTGTCCCAGACTGGCATCCAGTGTGGAGGATCCACCACTGATGTCGGTGCGAGCAGCAGGCATCCCAAGGGCCTTAGAATGAGCCATCACAGAGACTGTTCCCCTAGGCTCAGTGCTCCCCGTAATAGCGGTTGCCATCCTGTGTTTGGGCTACTCACTGCTGTTACTCCTCCTGAGGCAGCTCCAGTCCACGAGTCCATGCCAGAGCCTGCTCCAGTCCTCGAAACATCTCCAGAGCCCGCTCCAGTTCTCTCGTCATGGCCAGAAGTGCCATTCCCTGTTCCAATGACTCCCGTTCCCTCATCACGACCAGGAGTGCCGTTCCCTGTTCCAATGACTCCATTTCCCTCGTCACAGCCAGGAGTGCCGTTTCCTGTTCCAATGACTCTAGTGAGTCCAGCTCCTCCCGAGATGATGGCATCTGCTGCAGAACCTCCCAAAGAGGCAGCGTCCGCTCCTGCTTCTCCCAAGGTGCTGGCTTGTGCTGCAGAACCTCCAGAGGCAGCAGTGTCTGTCTTTGAACTCTTTGCCAGTCCAGCCGTGGCCAAAGAGGTTGCCTGTGAACCCTCTGATTGTCCTGTCACGGCCAAGGAGGCCGTCTCTGAACTCTCAGCCTGTCCAGCCACGGCCAAGGAGGCCGTTTATGAACTCTCTGCTTGTCCTTTTTCGGCCACAGAGGCCGTTGATAACCTCTCTGTGTTCTTTATTCCACCAGTCCAGCCTGATCCGCCATGGTGGTTCCCTGCTCCATCAGCTCCACCCTAGTGGTCATCTGCTATACCGTGGTGATCTTCGGTCCCGTCTGCTCAGCTGTGGTGGTCATCTGCTCCGCCATGGGGATCTTCAGTCCTGTCTGCTCTGCCCTGGTGGTCTTCTGCTCCACCCTAGCGTCCTGCTCTGCTGGCTCCGCCCTATCTTCCTGCTCCACCCTGGGTTCCTGCTCTAACAATAATAATTCATTACATTTATGTAGCGCTTTTCTGGGCACTCAAAGCGCTTTACATAGAAGGGGGAATCTCCTCAGCCACCACCAGTATGCAGCATCCACCTGGACAATGCGACGGCAGCCATATTGCGCCAGAACACCCACCACACACCAGCTTTATTGGTGGAGAGGAGACAGAGTGATGACATGAGGATGATTAGGAGGCCATGATGGTCAGAGGCCAATGGGCGAATTTGGCCAGGATGCCGGGGTTACACCCCTACTCTTTTTTGAAGGACATCCTGGGATTTTTAATGACCCCAGAGAGTCAGGACCTTGGTTTAACGTCTCATCCGAAAGATGGTGCTTTTTCTCAGTATAGTGTCCCCATCACGTTAGGACCCACACTGACCACAGGGTGAGCACCGCCTGCTGGCCTAACTAACACCTCTTCCAGCAGCAACCTAGTTTTCCCAGGAGGTCTCCCATCCAGGTACTGATCAGGCTCAACCCTGCTTAGCTGCCAGCTTTGCCTCAGTCCTCAGTTCCTTCACTTCCACTTGGACCTGGCCCTCCACCTGTTGCACCTCCTCTCCACCTCCCTCCTGGACTAATTTCTGTTCTTGTTTGGGGGCGTCTGGACGCTGTTACGATCACCAGCTGGAGTGCCCATGAGCTCCTACAGAGGGCACTCCACCCCAGACTGTTGTCACTCCCTCACTAAGTACATTCCCCATAATCTTTTGCCTTGACTCTTGATCACTGATTGCATTCACCTGTATCTTGTTACCTCCATCAGTCTCACCCTATTTAAAGCCTGGTTTTTCACTCATTCATGGCTCACTGCCGCCTTGGTCTGCGTGATCTTTATTTAGAAACGCGTCAGTAAAATGAACTGTAACTCAGCAAATACTCAACAAATAGACATGAGATATATATATATATATCTATAGAAAGCTTGACATGTCTACTTTTAAACTAAGCAAGTCTTATCGAAAGCAAATATTCTGTGATAAAGTAAAACACAATCACGTACATACATGCTGCTCACATATTATTGTAGCCCAGTTTGTGCTGATTATGGTGCTACTAAACTTAGCCAATAAAATGTTTATTAGCAACTGAAAAAAGCACAAATGTCAGGACATGTCAAAACTTCTCCAGGGCCCAAAACACCCTCGGACCCCAGAGGGTCTACTTGAATTTGAATTGACATTTACAAGAGAAATGTTCACTCCATCATGCACTGACATTGTGTCAGTATGTACCAATTCAAGCAGAATTTAAATGCCCAGTTTGTTAGATCAGAGGAAGTTAACAACCACAGGGGGGGCTGATAGTATTTAAAGAAAGAGTTGAGAGCAAATAATGAAGAGAAAGACTGCGAGAAAGAGAAAATGGCTCATAAGTGTCATTTGTGTCTGCTGGGACTGATCGCTCTCTCTTCACTTCTCACTGGTAAAGAAATAGTTTATTCTGGACAGTGTTTGCATTAAGTGAGGGGAAAAAACCTATGATCTGAATCTTCTGCTTTTTATGCTGGTATGTTTTTTGTTTTCATTTATTCATATATAACATAATGATCACCAAAATGTACTTGTGTTTCAGGTACCAGTGGAGAGGATGAGACTCATGTGTTCATTGGTTCTGGTGAAAATGTCCACCTGCCCTGTAATAATGCTCTTCATGACTGCAAATCAACTACATGGAACTATAACAGACATTCAGCAGCAGTTGAACTGATTGCTAGAGGGATAATTATGAAACACATCGAGAGTCATGAGAGACTGAGTCTGGGGTCTGACTGCTCTCTGAACATCAACAACATCTCAAAAGAAGATTATGGATCTTACAGCTGCAGACAATATGAGAATGACAAACAACAAGGAACTGATTCTCGTGTTTTTCTGCATGTCCTTTATGGTAATTTTACAATCATGTGGCCAATTTAAAAGGGCAAATTCTTGGTTTAAACTCCCATGATGATTGAAGAGTCTGTGATTTGTGTTATTTTGTGTTTCAGTCTCATCCTCACAGACTGAGATCAGTGCAGGCCACTCTGTGACTCTCTCCTGTCAGCTGTATTCATCTGCTCGAGTCTCTTGTGATGATGATTGGATCCGTTCTGAGGGAATTGAGCTGTTCTGGGTGAATCAGACTGGTGTTAAACTGACGATATCAGACTCCAGATATCAGATATTATCCTCATCAGATCACTGTATCATCACTCTGAATACAACACTCCTGAATGAAGATAACAACAGAGAGTGGAGATGCAATGTTTCTCAGAGCGATCAAGTCAAGACCTCAGTCACTTATACTGTCAATAGTTCAGGTGAGAAAACAAGCTCATTAATCAGTTATGAAGAGTTTTTGTTAGATGTGCTAATATAATGATAGATAATGCTGAGTTATTTTCTGTGTTAACTAATTAATATATTATTGTCATAAACTACAGTATAAATTATCTGAACTAACATTCATCTTTTCCAGCTCAAGCTGATTCAGTGACAACAGTGATTTCAGTCCACATCACAAACTCTCAGGATCCCTCAACTACAAACACACACGTAACTAAAGGTACATCATCACTGTCTTTCTCACATCCGTGCTTTGCAGTGGCTCTCAGATACAGTTTTCTTAAATCAGTCTCTAGATATTGATTCCTTTCTGAAAACATTAAGAGATTGGGTACAGGGGATCAACAACTGTGCAAATTAACTCTAATCACTCGAATTGTGTGTGTGTGTGTGTGTGTGTGTGTGTGTGTGTGTGTGTGTGTGTGCATGTATCCATGCACACACAAGTCTGAGGCCTTTTATGTTTGCAAGAACACATGTATGTCATGATGAACATGATCCTGAACACTAAATGTTTCTCTTATTTTCGATCTCCCCCATTCATTTCCAGTGGATGCTTATTTTTGACCAATATAAGCTCAGATCAGTGAGGCTTATGAACAACCAGTTTCAAAAAGAAATACAAAATCTGAAGAAAATCCTTAGAATGACCCTAACACAAAATGAGGGTTAAAAGCTTAAATAATTGTTCAGTGATATCTTACAAAGATTTTGGCGCAACTTTTTTCTATATATACTGTTGATATGGCAACTTTGAAACCATGTGTGTTCCTGCTAGCCTCGTGTTAGGTTGTGTCCTGCTTTCCCTTAATGTGTTCACATAATGAAGATTCATTTCATTTGATAGAAATTTAAAATAAAATTGAATTCTTGAATGTTAGAAAAGTAAGTTGATGTAATTAAAACCGGGTTTAAATTCAGTTTATTAAAGAGGCTGAACTTATTCCTTTGTTAACTGAAGAGATAGAGTTTAATGCACATAGCAGCCCACTTACAAAAGAGAAGAGGAAGTGTGATTTCACAGCATCATCAGTCTAATCTGGGATCAGAGATGATCACTGATCTATTGTGGTCAAATTTCTCACATGTTTCCAAACCTAAAAAGTGAAATCACAGCTCTGAAAACATTAGAACTGCTATAATTAATTCACAATTGTAGTTATGAAAGTGTAAAATGGCTGTCAACCATCTCAGCACTGTGAGAAAGTCTCACTGAAATCACTGGTAAATTCATATGTAATAGTCTGTATGATGATGATTCCATAATCACTATTATCATAATCATTTGCAGAAATACAACAAACAAATGACCTTTTTATGTTCAATCATTATAATTCACTTTTCTTCTTTTATTAGTTCAGTTGCTGTGTAGTGTTTTTTGTATCAATGCATCTTTGAAAACAGCATTCATGAGTGTTATAACCTCTGTATTCGCTTCTTGTTGAGTCTTCTGTAATCCTCTGCAAACTTCGACAGTTGGTTGAACCGGCTCATTCGGTTCTTTTTGAGTTGGACGTGCTACTTCGGCTGTGTGTCCTGCGTCATCAACCCGGAACTAAAGTTCGATTCAGTTCGATTTGTGAACCCACTCAACCGGTTACTTCCGGAGAACCATCTCAAAAGAACGATTCGTTCAAGAACCTAACATCACTAAAAGCTATATAATAATCCATGCTGCATACTCCGGTACAGTAGGTGGCGGTATGCACCTGACAAGTTATGATTGCAATCTGCAATTAAACTAAAAGAAGAAGTCTGGAGTCGCTCACACATAATCAGTTTAATAAATAAAATAAAAAAAAATAATTTTGTTTAAAGTTAATTTGGTGTACAGAACATACTGGATTATTCCTGAATGCACTAATACTGGACATAGTGTCACTCTCGAAAATCTGATGCTGAACTTCTGGAGAGTGTGGTTTTTGCATTAAGTGAGGAAAAACAAAACTATATGTTTGATTCTTCTGCTTTTTATGCTGGTATGTTTTCATTTACTAATAGCTCACACAGGCTCCACTACATGTTTATCATTTCTGTGATGTGAAGCTGATGTGATAATGAACATCTAAACAAACCATCATCATGTTTAAACTGAACCAGAGGTGGACAGTAATGAATACATTTGCTTGAGTTATCTGAACTTAAGTACACTTTCAGTATCTGTACATTACTTGAGTGGTATTTTTTATGGAAACTTGTGACTTTTACTTAAGTAACTATCTGTCTTTATAACTTTCACTTGTAATGGAGTAATATTTGACCAGCAGTATCAGTACTTTAGAGTCAAGTAATGGAGTTTTGTACTTTGTCCACCTCTGAATTTAACTAACAGACATGATCACAGATCCAGCAGAAACTGAAGTCAGTATGACTGCTGGGTTATTATTCAGAGGTATCACACTCTTTACATTGTTCATCGTTTCATAGCTTTGATTTCATTCCCAGTTTCACAGACTGAGTCTCTGTTTTCTCTTGATTGTGTTTCTCATCTGTCCTGCAGTGATTGTGATTATTGTTGAG